GAACAGTGGGCTATAAATCATTTATGGAAAGAAAGAAAGAAAGAAAGAGAGCCATCTTAGCCCGTCTTGTGCTGGAAAGGGTTTGGACCTGTCAGCTGCTGAGACATCCATCCACTGGTGCAGCCAGCAACCCATTACCACCTGCCAAATGTGGGTGGGTGGGCAGAGGTGCCCCCAGGGGGGTCCCTACTGGGGGTGCTCCAGAGATGGGGAAATGGAGGGGCTGAGCCTGCCTGGGATCCGCCGGATCACGAGCGGGTGAGATACGTTGCAAAATCCGGCTAAGTGCAAATTTTGAAGGCCAGCCGTGTTTCGATTTGAGCATTGCTTTGGAAACAGGGGCAGCTGCCATGGCATGCAGATGGCGTTGAATTGCTCTCCTGTCCCTGGACCAGATCCTGGGCGAGGTGGGCTTTTTGCACTTTCTCGCTCCAAAATGCGGACCGTGACAGGGGACCCCCGCCTGTTTTCCTCCTCCTCCTGCTGCTGCTGCTTGTCCCCTTCCCAGCTCTGTCCGTCATCCACGGCAGCCTGCTCAACTTCAAGGTGCTGATCGAGAGGATTACCCACCAAAACGCCCTCATCCACTTCAATGGATACGGGTGCTACTGCGGAAAGGGCGGGAGAGGGAAGCCGAGGGACCAGACAGACATGTGAGTTGGCCGGCGTGTTTCCCTGGGCCTCCACAAAGACACCACGAGCCTCACTCAGCCAGACGGGGTGGGGGGCGGCTTTGCTTGCAGGTGATGCCGGATATTCCTGGTAGGTGGGGTCTGGTGCGCCAGAAACTGGTGTGCATCAACAATGCATCCCTCCCTGTGATGCTGCCATGCCAGCATAAGTGGGTGAAGAAGAGGGCTGATTAACCTGCTCAAACACATTTCCCTCTGTTAGGACAGGGCTGGGGAAACCTCAAGACTGAACTCTACAGCTCCACCTGGTGTCACAGTGTTATAACACATTTAAAACACCTTTTGTGTGTGTAGTAATGTACAGTGATACCTTGGGTTAAGAACTAATTCATTCTGGAGGTCCGTTCTTAACCTGAAACTATTCTTAGCCTGAGGTACCACTTTAGCTAATGGGGCCTCCCGCTTCCGCTGCACGTTTTCTGTTCTCATCCTGAAGCAAAGTTCTTAACCCGAGGTACTATTTCTGGGTTAGCGGAGTCTGTAACCTGAAGCGTCTGTAACCTGAAGCGTCTGTAGCCCGAGGTACCACTGTAGCTGAGTTCCATACAGTGGCGTAGCGTGGGTTGTCAGCACCCGGGGCAAGGCAAATAATTTGTGCCCCCTAACCCTGAGTGAGCCAGGTAGGGGCAGAGAGCTGCGAGTGTGAGCGCACCCCCCCCCCAGATGTTGCGCCCGGTGCGGCCGGCCCCCCCTGCACCCCCCACGCTACGCAACTAGTTCCATATCAGTGTGTATGAAGATTCAATGTTTAGACTGTTTTTAAGGAGAGTGCTGGTGCTCTGCTGTTTTCTGTGTAGCTATCCGCATGCTTTAACAGATCTCTGTTGGTTAAACCACAGAGCCTAGGACTTGCCGGTCAGAAGGTCGGCGGCTCGAATCCCCGCGACGGGGTGAGCTCCCGTTGCTCAGTCCCTGCTCCTGCCAACCTAGCAATTCGAAAGCACGTCAAAGTGCAAGTAGATAAATAAGTACTGCTCCGGTGCGAAGGTAAACGGCGTTTACGTGCACTGCTCTGGTTCGCCAGAAGCGGCTTAGTCATGCTAGCCACATGACCCGGAAGCTGTACGCCGACTCCGTTGGCCAATAAAGCGAGATGAGGGCTGCAACCCCAGAGTCGGTCACGACTGGACCTAATGGTCAGGGGTCCCTTTACCTTTACCTTTTAACACACACATTTCTATTAATGCTTGTTTTTTAATTATTGCTTTTCCCTCTAGCTTTTAGCCGTTTCTATTTTAGGTGTAAGCCACCTTGAATCCTTGTCTGGTAAAACTGTGGGATGTAAATAAATATAGTAATAACAATATTTTATTTTATTTTTAAATGAAAGCTCAGCAGCGCAGTGGGGGGGGAGGGGGAGGACACCAAAATTCTCAAAATCTCAACAGGGGCTTCCTGCTAGCAGGCCTTCCTCCCCCTGCATCCCCCCTCCCATTTTCTCCCCTTCCAGGTGCTGCTATAAACACGACTGCTGCTATGAGGGTCTACACAGCAAGCAGTGCCACCCATATATTGATCACTACAGATACCTGATCATCAATGACGATGTTCTCTGTGGTGAGTGGCGGGCAGAAGGATTTGGGTTTATTTTCCTTTGCCCACCTTCCCTTTAGAAGAAGGAGGCCATTCGTAGAACCATTCCACAGAACTGTCTCCAGATATGCCCCACCCCCATTTATTTCTGGTGGTCTCGATCAGGCCTGCTGAACTCTCCCTGAGCTGCACCCCTCACTGGCCTTGCTTCTTGTCCTGCTGGAGAGCTTCAGCTTGGCCAAAACATGTCCTCAAACTCTGGCAATGCCTGTTGCTTGCCTGGGAGGAGAATGAAGAGGGTGTGTGTGTGAATGTGTTTTAGACGCCGGCCTACCGGTACAAAGGCACTTCTCATATGAGGTTCCAGTCAAAAGGAAGCTTTGCATCCTGCAAGCCTGACGTCTCCTCGCCGCTTTTGCCTCTGCAGAGTACAGAAACAATTCCCACTGTGCCGTGTTGGCGTGCGAATGCGACCGTCGTGGCGGCCCTCTGCTTCCGAAAGTATGCCAAAACGTACAACAAGAAGTACCACCGTTACCCCTACGTCTTGTGCAAAGAAATCACCCCTAAATGTCGAGGCAGCAAGAAGCCGAAGTAGGAAAGCCCAAGAAGCAGGCAAACCGGATGCGGGCTTGATGCAGAGGATTGCTTTGAGAGGGCAATCTCTCCCGTGGGAAAGAGGACCAGAGCGGAAATGCAGGGGTTTTTCTTGCTTGTGTGTTTTTCTGCGTGGATTCCAAAGTCAGCAGCACTGATTGTTGAATTTTTGAAATCTCTGCATTTCAAAGTTCGCGTTTGATGTCAAAGGGACGCTCCCCACGAGCTGCATCTTAATTTGCAAAATTGATGTCTTGGCATCTCAGTGCTTCTCTTCGCCCCAAGGACTAAATCCAAGATTTGTCTATTACTGGAAATGTGGGGCATGGGCAGCAATAAACCATTGTTTATTTATTAATTTATTTATTAACACGAACTCTTTGTTAAAATCGTTTTTCTTCCCAACCCTGATTTTCCCATTGAGGAAGTGCCTGTGGTGGCTAACTAAGCAGCTAGATTAGAAATTCAAATATTCAAAAAGTGTATGTGGTAAGCAGTTCTAGCTGTGTAAAGAGATGACTATAGGGGTCTACCTATCAAATGGCTGTGTCAGAACCTTGGCCCATTAAGCTACCTCTCCCATGGTATCATCTGTAAAGCCCTTCAAGTCATTTACAAAGATATTGACCAACACAAAGCCTAGGACTGAACCCTGTGGCACCCCACCTGTCCAGGATGACGAGAAACCATTAGTGAGCGCTCTTTGGGTTTGGTCAGTTAACCAGCTGCAAATTCCCATAGCAGTAGCATTGTCCAGCCCACATTTTACCATCTTCTCTGCAAGAATATCATGGGGGACTTTGTCAAAAGCTGTACTGAAATCAAGATACATTACGTCCACAGCATTCCTCTGATCTACCAAGCTTGTAACTCAAAACCTATGCTTGGCTCTTAGTAGTCACAGCATTCTTTTTTAAGTGTTCACAGAATGACTGTTTAATTATCTGTTCTATTACCTTTCTATCAGCATCAAGCTGACCTGCTGGTAGTTGCCTGGGTCTTCCCTTCCCACCCCTGTTTTGAAGATGGGGACAACCCTGGCCCACTTCCAGTCCTCAGGGACCTTTCCTCCAAGAATTCTCAAAGAGTATAGACGAAGGCTCTGAGATTACATCTTGGCAGGGTGAGGGGTGGGAAAGGGCCTTCTCTGTGGTGGCCCATAAGCTGTTCAAACCCTTCCCTGCAGAGGTGTCCCTACATTGAACAGCTTCTAGCGAATGCTAAAGACACATGGCTTTACCCTGGTGTTCAACATTTGGGGTTTATATTTGTAGGACCTGCCTTATTCCTGTAATTTTGTTTTTAACACATCTTTTAGGTGTTGTAATAATCATATTCAGCAGCCAGTGACCAGGTTAGTACTTTATTTATTACACAGAGACAGGGAGTTTCCTCTCTCCTCTTGACACCCCGCAATGGCTTTTAGTACAAAAAACCCTTTAAATACAAAATATGCTTCTTCCTCTCACACACAAGCACACACGCGCGCGCACACACACACACACCTCTGTCCAAATGCTCTCCCACTCAAGTTATATATTAAATATTACGACTGTACAATATTTATACGTGCGAGAGGAAAAATTGATTAGAGAAATAACAGCCCCACCCCCCAAGGTAAGTAAGACAAAAAATACCCCCACAAATGTTACATCAGTTATTTCTATTTGAGTTCACAGAATCCAAAGAATGTAGAGTTGGAAGGTACCCCCACGTTTCATCTAGTCTGACCCCCTGCGATGCAGGAATCACAGCTAAAGAATCCCTGACTGTGGGCCATCCAACCTCGGTTTAAAAACCTCCAATGATTTACAGAACCATAGGATTGTAAGAGTTGGAAGGCTCCCCCAAAAGTCTCCTAGTCTGATCCTCTGCAGTGCAAGAGTTGACAAGAGCCGTTGAATTGATCACCTGCAGAACAGACACCGTTAGATCTCTAACAAAAATTGGAAAAGTTTTCATGCCTTCCAGCTGGAATGCTGCCTAGTCAGTTGGACCCCCGGTTACGGAAAAATAAATAAAAACTGGGTTACTTACAGGCCAAGGTTAGCCAATGTCAAACTATTGATTTAGAAAGATCAGAGAACCACAGGCACCTGATGGAGGATGCAGTGACGTCTCTTTTCCTCCCCCCCCAATGGAATCATGTAGTTGGCATTCAAGAACAAGACACGAGTTCTCAGAGGACACAAGACCCCAGGCTTTGGTCACACTCATCTGCATCCATCGCCCTTTGATTTTGCCAAGAATAGCATCAAATATCTCTGAGCCAATGGGCTCTTTGTCATGTTAAGTGAAAGGCCTCCGGTGCAAAAGTGGAAACACCTGGACTTAGTTTCCAGTTCTGTGCCACTCATGTGATAAGAATCATAGGGTTGGAAAGGACCCTGAGGGTCATCTAAAGCGCAACCCCCTGCCATGCAGGAATGATGGCAGCAAATAGGAATAAAACAATGTTTGCCTGGCTCCTCCTCTCCCTCTCCTACACACGTACATACACTCTTGCCCCCATGTGCTACAACACGGCTGTTCATCCTGCAATGCCTCCTACACACACTTGACCGCCAACTAACCTTCCCTGTTCCCTACAGCGTCAATCCCCTGACTCCTGTAGACAACTTTGCCCTCCTCTGGCATCCCTCTGCACGCCATCTCCATCAATGCTGCCGTCACAGAATCACAGAACTGTAGAGCTGGGAGAAGGGACCTTGAGGGTCATCACATCCAACCCAGAACTAGTTTATTTAGGCTAGATTCAGACAGTTGGGTTCACCTAGCCTAGGAATGTCTTCCTTTGGCTGGTGGTGGACCTCCTTGCCAGCCCACAACCTTAGAAGATTTGCAGGTGGAGATGCTTCTCACCCACCTCCACCCCTGTGGCCCAGCTCTTCTCCTTTCCCCTGAAATTGTAGAATTGGAAGGGACCCCAAGGGTTATCCAATCCAACCCCTGCAATGCAGGAATCACAGCTAAATGGGTATCTGGATGCTGGATCCATTGGTGGTGTGGGGAGTGGACGGACAGCCCTCAGAGGCTTTGAGAAGGAACCTCCAAGATGGCTTCCTAGACTTGAAGCACGCTGCTCAACCAGGAAAGGGCACCGTCACGAACGGAGACCTTTCTGCTCCTCGGGGCAGCTCAGCCTTGAAGAGCTGATGTTTCTGGATAGGAGGGGCAGAGGCTGCTCAGTTCGCAGGTGTTCAGGCACCTGGAAAAGCTCCTCCCCTCTAGCGAAGGCTGAAGCCACTCCACATTCCAAGAGCGTCCAAGAGCGCCAGAAGCCCCCTTCAGATCTTTGTCTCTGGACGGCACTTGGGTCGAGTGCCGGGAAAGAGTCTCGGATCTGGCCAGCTCCATGGCGGCAGAGGCGGCCGAAAACTTTGCTGTACCAGTCTGGAGACCGTCCCCTGGAAAGACAAAAGAGCGACAGGTTAGCACGGGGGCATCTTCCACGCTGCACAAGCAGAATTCCCTGTTCATTGATGCTGAGACTCCATCAAAGTCTCAGGAGGAGTAGGAAGATGCCCAGGCAATCTGCAAGGGCTTTAGCTGTTGGACAGTGGAACGGACTTGGTGGAGGACTCTCCTTCGTTGGAGGGTTAAAAAACAAACAAACAAAAACTGTTTTTATTTATTTTCATGGTACAGACGATAAATTTTGAGAAAACAATTGTTACAACAGTAAACAACAAGTAACTTGTCCTGATAAAATGGCAGACTTTTATCATGCCATGCGTTAAAAGTTTCATTTGGCTGGGCGGATTCCTGCCGCAGTCCGAACTATGTATGTATTCAATGAACATTTGCCATATGTTATAGAAGGAATATGGATTGTGTTTGGCGCTCTCACTTGGCATGTTAGTTTCTCAGCCAATGCTATTGACCATGCTCTGTTATACCAAGAATTAGTGTTCAGTCCATCACCGGTTTTCCAACATCTGGCTATCTCCATATGAGCAGCAGTCAAAAGGCTAAGGGGTCATCTTTAGGATAATCATGAGAGCCAGTGTGGTGTAGTGGTTAAGAGCGGTAGATTCGTAATCTGGGGAACCGGGTTCGCGTCTCCGCTCCTCCACATGCAGCTGCTGGGTGACCTTGCGCTAGGCACACTTCTTTGAAGTCTCTCAGCCCAGCTCACCTCACAGAGTGTTTGTTGTGGGGGAGGAAGGGAAAGGAGAATGTTAGCCGCTTTGAGACTCCTTCGGGTAGTGATAAAGCGGGATATCAAATCCAAACTCTTCTTCAGACAGGATCCTAAGCCCAAGTAGTGAAAGTGCAGGGGACATTTTTTAAAGCTGAGGTCAGATGGCCATCTGCCAGGGATGCTTTAACTGAGATTCCTGCAACAGGTTAGCAGGGGGCATCTTCCACACTTGGGGTGCCTCTCAACTCTACAATTTTATGATTCTGTAGGCTTGGCCGGACAGCTCACCTGAGATCTGCGCGGCAGATATGGGTCACTCTGGAGCGCCCCATCCCACAGGGCTCCATCAAGTACTGGGAGGTCAGGACCACTGCCCGGACCCCACCTTCCAGGGGCAACGTCTTATGGTCCAGGGATAAGGACACGAGGAGGCAGCCTCCTCGGGGCAAGTCTGAGCGCCATTTTCTGCAAAGGAGAAACAAAACAAAATGGATGAGCAGGAACAGTCAGGCTGTGGATCATTAGGACGGGAATTGAAAAGAAAGCTGCCAATATCATTATACAAATCTATGGTGCAACCATATTTGGAATCCTGGGTGCAGTTCCGGTTGTCTCATCCCCTCGATCGTTTTGGTTGCTAAACCTTTTCCAACTTAGCAATATCCTTTTCATTTTTAAATTTGTTTTTATTAAAGATTTACAAGAACATCTTTAATAAAAATGAATTTAAAAATGAAAAGGATATTGCAGAGTTGGAAAAGGTTCAGAAAAAAGCAACTGAAATGATCAAAGGGGTTGGAGGAAATCCCCTAAGAGGAAAGGTTGGGACTTTTCAAGCGAAAGGCGACATGATAGGAGTTTATAGAAGTAGGTGTGGCATGGAGAAATGGACAGAGAAATTTTCCCTCCCTCTCTCTCTCTCTCTCTCTCTCTCTCTCTCACAACACTAGAACTCATGGACATTCCATGAAGCTGAATGTTGGAAGGTTCAGGACAGAGAAAAGAAAAAGAAGAAGAAGAAGAAAAACTCCTTTGCACAGCGCAATTGTTAAACTATGGACCTCGCTTCTACAGGAGGCACGGATGTCCGCTAACCTAGATGGCTTTAAAAGAGGATTTCCTCATATAGTGAAAGATGGAAAGGATTTGCTGAGATAATTAATAATTAGAATACAAAAAAGGGAGGTGTGAGGAGGTCGATGAAACAAGTTAATGAAAGATAAAGATATGGGAATATTGGATTTGTTTTTAATTCTTTTTTTGCTTTTGTTTTTGGGTTTGATGTATTGTGTGTTTTGTATTCTTTTTTCTTTTTATTGACTTGTATTGTTTAATTCCTTTTTTCTCTCTTCTTCTTTCTTTTCCCCCCTGCAATTTTAAATTCTCAATAAATATCTTCTTCTTCTTCTTTTTTAAAAAAGAGAGGATTTCCTCAATGTTCAGAGGTAGCAGTGCTGGCTAGCGAACGGCCGCTGGGATGGGGTAAGGGAGATGCACTGATATTTCCTGGCTCTCACCGGAGGACGAGGAAGTCTCGCCGCGGGTGGGGCGCCATGCTGTCCGTCACATAGTGGTAGACCTCCGTGTTGTGGTCCAGGGCCTCCATCACTTTCTCCTGCAGGAGGTCTTCGTCCCACAGGCGCCGTTCCCGGAGCACCCGCTGAAGCACCGCCTGAGGGGGTGCCTCTACTTCCGTGGACACCTTCCACAGGCGCAGGGGGTGCACGTCCCCCACCTGAGAAGACAGGGAGGCAAGGTGTCATTCTGTAGAATCACGGAGTTGCGGCACTGGAAGGGACCCCGAGGGTCATCCAGCCCAACCCCCTGCAAGGCAGGAATCTCAGCTCAAGGTTCCACCTCTTGCAACGGAGGAGAGTCCAGCCTCCCATCTCCTCTTACCTTCTTGCACGAGATCTCCGTGTTGAGGGGTCCAGGCATGCCAAGCCACCCCTTGAAGCGGTCGAAGGACTCCTTGAGCAGGCTTTGGATACTGACTTCCAAGTCAATCCGGGAATCCCGGCCTTCCCCCATCAGCTCAGAGAAGGAGAGAGGCTGGGTGTCCGCTGCCAAGTAGGAGTTGCAAAGCTGGAGCATCACGTCCTGGGGGATCTGGAAGGCAAAGCCGTGGTTGTGAGCAGATGCGGGCAGAGACCAGATCCCTGCAAAAACAGGGATCCCCTGGGAAATCATGCTGGGTGAGCAATGGTTGTCCGAAAATAACAACAACAACAACAACAACAATAATGATGATGATGATGATGATGACATTTATTTGTACCCTACCCATCTGGCTGGG